GACAATCCAAGCAAAGGACCTTTTTTCCAAACACGATCTCATAGCAGGGTTCTTGACATTTCTTTGTGGCAAAGAACTCTCTGGAACTCTGCAAGCTCCTAAGCCCCTTCCCCGAACAATGTTTTACATGCATAAAATAAGAGCACACAGGATCACAAAGGAAACCAATTATAGTGAAATACCAATTATCAAAATATTAAAAAATGCTTACGATGTGGGAACATATCCTTCTCTAGCAGTAGTTTAATTCCAATTTAATTTCTAAGCACTGATGAGCATAATTTAAGATAGCTGCTACAAACATAATGCTATTTGAAAAACCTACATTTATTAGTGAGAAAGACACAGATGCTGCTTATAATACTGTGATCTGTTGCCTGTATTCAAAATGAAAGGAAATGCTAAATATTACTGAGAGGTTAGTGAAAAATAACAGGTTTATTCTGAGTTCACAGACCTCTCTGAATTCTCTCTGCAGACCTGATCGATAAAGCAGCTGGAGACACAGCTTCACCAGCTTAAACAGAAGGAGAAGGCTGGTGGCAACAGCTCTTGGCTTCTTCCTCACTGCCTCTTCCTCCCGCACCCATACCCTCAAACCCCAGTGAAAAGCCAGCTTCAGGGCTTCTGGGAAGACTGCTTGAAAACCACACAGAAAGAGGGCTACTATTCCACAAATACTTGCTGAGAGTATTTCTGTGATAGCAGGCCTGTGCCTATTTCCCACTCCCCTGGGCATATCTGTACATATTTGGTGAATACAGTATATAGAGGATCGGGTCCTTCTTACCTCGTTTTATTCTTTTTCACTCTTTTATTCTCCTGTTTTAACCCTTTGTTTTGTATAGCCCAACAGCTTTTAGCATGCCTTATTTTCTCATTTCTTAGCTATTGGGTTTTGTTTACTGTACTTCATCTCTAGCTCACACTATTTCTTTGTTAATGCATCATTTCCCTTTCCTTGTTTTGTTTTGTTTTTTTAAGTGAACGGTGGGGGGAAAGTTGATCATCGGGTTGTAGACCCCCAGTGAACAGATCACGACCCAAAGAGGAAGATTTGGAAATTCTCCCTCCTGCTCTCTCAACAGCAGCCTTTCTAACTCTCCTTAAAAGATCCCTGGGACTCTTAATCTTGAAGCCCCTAAACTTTTAAACCTGTGTTCTTCAGGAGATTCAAAAGCTAAAATTCTCTCCTGGGACGACAGGATGATAACCAGCAGGTATGTTTGTCGGCAGCACCCTGAACTGCTGGAACTTGGAACTACTTAATTGTGCACCTGATGGGATGGCAGATGCTCATTAGCTTGCCACTGATCACTGTAGGGTCAAAACTTCTTTGGCCCTAATACTCTTATGATAATCACTGTGGAGGATCTGATCACTAGAATAGGAGGGGATGTGGCAGCTATGCTCCACTTGTTGAGCGTGGTCTGCACTGGCTAAGGCAGTGAAAGAGCTGAGCTAATGACAGAGGCAGACACCCAAAGTTCTGTTGTGGGCCTTATTCTCAAAGACAGTACTGCCTGGGGAATGAGAAATCCTTAGGGCTGTTGAGCAAGAAGCTGTCAGTTGTATGGGATTAAGAAATCCCTTCAACAGAAATACAAATCAAAACCACAATGAGATATCACCTCACACCAGTCAGAATGGCTAAAATTAACAAGTCAGGAAATGACAGATGCTGGCGAGGATGCGGAGAAAGGGGAACCCTTCTACACTGTTGGTGGGAATTCAAGCTGGTGCAACCACTCTGGAAAACAGCATGGAGGTTCCTCAAAATGTTGAAAATAGAACTACCCTATGACCCAGCAATTGCACTGCTGGGTATTTACCCTAAAGATACAAACGTAGTGTTCCGAAGGGGCACGTGCACCCGAATGTTTATAGCAGCAATGTCTATAATAGCCAAACTATGGAAAGAACCTAGATGTCCATCAACAGACGAATGGATAAAGAAGATGTGGTATATATACACAATGGAATACTATGCAGCCATCAAAAGAAATGAAATCTTGCCATTTGCGACGTCGTGGATGGAACTAGAGGGTATCATGCTTAGCGAAATAAGTCAATCGGAGAAAGACAACTATCATATGATCTCCCTGGTATGAGCGAGAGGAGATGCAACATGGGGGGTTAAGGGGGTAGGAGAAGAGTAAATGAAACAAGATGGGATTGGGAGAGAGACAAACCATAAGTGACTCTTAATCTCACAAAACAAACTGAGGTTTGATGGGGGGAGGGGAGTTGGGGGGGTGGGGTTATGGACATTGGGGAGGGTATGTGCTATGGTGAGTGCTGTGAAGTGTGTTAACCTGGCGATTCACAGACCTGTACCCCTGGGGATAAAAATATATTATATGTTTATAAAAAATAAAATTAAAAAAAAAATTAAAAGAAATCCCTTCAACATTTCCTCACCCTAGACTTGTGATTGACCTTTCCTCTAAGATGCCTAAAGTCATCCCATCTAGAATGCATGCAGAAGGCCTAGCCAGTGGAAACACCATGGGCCCCTGGTGTCTTCAGGATTAACATTCTTGCTATCAATTAATGCAGAGAACCCCCAAGAGTTCATAACATGTAACTTCTAATTTTGCTGAGGCACAACTGTTTTATATATTCTCTAAGGGTGGAAAGCAAGAGTGAGACATTTAGCTAATGGGTGAATCTAGCCAACCTCCATTATCTATATCTTGATGTAGTTTTTTGGGGTTATACCTAGTCCCATATACATATAACAGTAATCTCATGAAGTCACAAAAATGTTTACTTCTTAAAAAAAAAAGCTAAGAAAAAGCCAATCTTCTTGGCAATGGGAGGGAGAACAGAAATCAAAAAAAGTGGTAAGTCATAGTTAGAACATTAGTTTTGTTTTCTTACTGAAGTATTGTTGAAATTCAGTATCATATTAGAACATCAGTTTTGATTAAGCAAAGGATGGGACGTCAAATTAAACAGTGGCTCAGATTTAAGATGGGTAAGAGTCTTGTATATGTTCTGTATGAAAACAGGAGAGAGATTTTAGGAAACTTTCAGTAAGACTCCAGGCCAAACATCATGTGAAGAATTATGGATGGTCTTAAAGGCAGGACTTAAATTTCTCAGTTAAACTTTAATGTACAAGGAATGGGACAGTGTTTAACTTACTGTTCACTATACACCAGCATTTGACACAGCCTGGACATGCAGTAGGTGCTCGGTAAATACTTGCTCAACGCTGAGTCACTGAAATCAATTACATGCTACAGAGGTACCTGTAAATTTGGGATGTATTTCTTCCAAGGCTATGGCACTGTGTCCCACAGGATGGTATTCTAAGGAATAATTTCTCTTTAGACATTTTAACTATTTCTGCATTTTGCCATTGACAAAGCAAAAGAATGAGAAGTGGGCAGATGCTAGCCCAATACACCTTCCACTACAGGCGAAAATAACTGTCAAAGGAGCCTCACAGTGCCAAAGAACCACTCAAGAAAGACAGGGCTTACTCTCATCAAGGAATCCCTTTATATTTATCTTAATGGAGTAGAGGGCACTTGCAATTATGATTTTAGGACTCAGAATTTAAACTTATTTTTTTTTTTTAAAGATCTTATTTATTCATTTGAGAGAAAGAAAGAGAGAGCACAAGTGGGGTAGCAGCAGAGGGAGAAGACAACTCCCCTCTGAGCAGGGAGCCCAATGTGGGGCTCAAGCCCAGGACCCTAGGATCACGACCTGAGTCAAAGGCAGATACTTAACCCACTGAGAAACCCAGGTGCCCCAAGAATTTAAACTTATGACATCTTTAAAGGCAAATAAGATTTAAAAAGTGTGAAATCTAATCTGCTTAAGATGTACATTTCAACAGAAAACACAAAAAAGGTGGTAGAATTTACCCAATTCAGAAAGAAAAAGGGGCTCATTACTATGTAGTAAAATCATGTGAAAAAAAATTGAATAAATTTTCACCGATATAAAGAAAACTTTAAAAACTGAACCCAGATGGAAAAAATAAAATACTCTCTTAAAGCAAAGTAAGATCAAATGGCAAATTTTAATGTAATGCTTATTAGAAAACATTTTAAGTTTCAACTGGAGTCTATTTTTGAAACGTAGCAATTGGAACGAATCATAAATCAGATTTTTAAAACACAATAAAGAATCAAAGTAAAGAGTAGTTATAGGGTATCATTTTTTACATATCTGATTAATGAAAAACCAAATATCAGAGTAAATCATAATTTATTTGACATCCCCTTATTTAATAAGCTTTAGGTTATTCATGTCTTTTGCTACTATAGATGGTACTGTACTGAACATGCTTCTTTTTCTTTGTACACATGGGTGTGTATCTGTAGTTCACAGTGGAATTGTTCACAGCTATGAGAAAGAATGAAGTAAATGTGGTAATGTACAAAAAGTTTTAAAATGTAGTGTTAATTAAAAATAGATGAATAGTGCAAACAGACTGTATTTCCAACCAAATAAGTAAGGGAGAGAAGAAGTAGATACATAAAATTTTTCACCTATCAGACTGACAAAAAATCCAGAAATATAAAAATTCCTGTTGACCAAGTTGTAAAAACAGGCCTTTCTCAGATTGCCGGCAGGTATGTTAGTTGGTGAAATCTCAGTGGAAAGCAATTTGGCAAGAGCTATTGTAATTACAAATATATATACTTAAGAGAATTATGTGCAAAATTACAAGTGTACAAGGTTGTTAATTACTCCATTGCACCTAATACAAAGAGAGAGAGCAAACAACCTCAAGCTTCTATCTACAACGGGGAACTGATTTAAATAGTATATTCATAATATGGAATATGATGCAGTTATAAGAAATGAGGAAGCCTCTCTGCCTACTTGTGATCTCTGTCAAAAGAAATGAGGAAGCTATCTATATACTGATATGGAAATATCTCCAAAATGAGAACTTAAAAAGCAAGGTGCTAAACATATAATACCTACCACCTTTTGTAAGAGAATATACAAACCAAACAGAATAGAAAACTTACTTATAAAGGTAATACTCTGCATGGTCTACCTCTTCTCTAGAGGAAATGTTGTCCACAAACTAAAAGATAGAAAAATAAACTTTGGTTAAATACAGATTATGCCATACACTGGATCTAATTCACAAACTGACCTTAAAAAAGGCAAGACACCCATTTTGTTGGACCACTGTTCGCATGGTATGACTTCATCCTTGAAACCGTTTTATACTAAGGCAAAGAATATACACTGGCTTCTCTCTTCCTATGTGCAGATCAATCCTGGTTAGATAAACTGAAAACCAAACATGAAACTTGCTCAGAACAAGAGAGAGCTCCTCTTACTATGTGTATAATTAGCTATCAGTATCTCCCTTTATCTTTAAACCCTGATATTTTCTCTATGTTCCAAGTTCCAAACGTGAGAACACCATTTTCCCACTCTGATTTCCTACTCTGGTTTTGTACTCTGCTTCAGAGTCAACCTGTGATCCTTGCACCAACAAAGTCTTCCTTTGAACCACAAAATCCCTGTGTGTGCTCCTTAACTCTAAAGTAAAGAAACAGAAGAGAATTATTCCAAGAATGGATTCTACCCTGACACAGACACACAGGCAAAAAGGATGGAGTAGGAGAAAATGCATGTTGTGAATATAATTAAAGCCTCATAAAGAGGAAGAGAGAGTAAAAAGGAGAAGACTTTCTAAAAATGCCTAGGACTTACGGATTTTATTTAGAAATCTCATTAAGGAGCAGAGAAAATACGCTTCAAGCACAGGACTGAAAGTTGAGAACTAGCTCTCCTGATTGCTTGCTGTGTGGCAGAGACAGATGGCACAGTCGTTCTGGAACTTAGCTGCTCCATCTGCATAACTAGAATAAAGGCACCTGCATTGAAGAGTGTAAGGCCCCAGTGAGAAAATGCACATGAAAGCCTGTTAAGCTCTAAAGTGCTGCTTACACAAATATCAGGCATTATGGCATACAGAAATTATATCCATCATGTAAGAGATGAGCAATGGCTTTTCAGTCCCCCTCTGAAAATGAGGAGTCTACACAACTTAGGTTATGTCCTAGTTAAAACTATTTCCCTACTAAAAGGAAAATAACAAAAGGGAAAGAAAGGATCCAGACCAAAAAGGGTAAGAGTTTCTTTACTTCTCCTCATTTAGACTTAACAACATCTTGAATTTTATGGTGCCATTAATTTCAACAAAGAATTTTCACAACTAAGATTTCATTTTGGCATCACATTAGGCCTGTAGGGTGATACTACTGATCCTACACTGGAAATGAGGAGATTGAGAGGAGCCCAGTAGATAATGTCACAAAGTAAATTCATGATAAAGAAAGGATCTCTTTGAGGAAGGCAACTGAAAAGCAGTTGGATGTCACAGAGATCTGGGTTTGAAGCTCACTTTTTTACTTATGAACTGTGTGAACTTGAGAAAGTTACCAACCAGTCTGAGTCTTACATGTAAAATGCAGTTTACAGTGCTTATCTCAAATAGCCGCTATAAGAATGAACAGAGATAATGTATGTTAAGAAACGAGTAAATTGGCTGGCATAGGTGTTCAGTAATGGTTACTATCAACGGCTATTCCCGATTCCCAGCCTAATATTATTCTCCCCTCCACTGTACTGCAGATAATTTAACATTAACAATATCCTTTCTTTTACAGACTTCAAGTATCAAAATCACTTCCAATATTAACAAATGAATACTATTACTTTGAAGGGTGTACCAACTTAAAAAAAATCATGATATCACAAAACAGAATATATTCTGGAAAAATAAAAATAAATCAGATACATAAAAATGATTAGTGATATCAGAGTCTGGTAAATTTATTACCTTTTATTTCGGTTATAGAAATTTTCTACTTTACCACAAAACACTTTTAGTAACCACAAAAACATACCATACTCTGGAGAAATATTTCCTATGAAGTCTTTATCTACACAGCCTCATCTATATAAAGAGCCTCTCGTCCTCCCTCTTTGAAAATATACATGTTTAAGTTTTCTTACCCGTGATATTGTTAGAGAACTAACAGGCAACTTTCTCTCATATGTTTTATCCATTAAAGATGCTAGATCAGCTGTGAAGACAAAGAAGGAAAAAGAACCTTGTTAAATATATATATTTCTTAAGAAAAATCTAACAGATACAACTCCTGCCAGATGGCTGCCAATACTGTAAAGTTACTATTAAAACAGATGCTCTTCCTTGCTCTTTTTAGAAATCATTTTTATATAAATTAAAGAGGATAAAGGACCATTAATAATATTTTAAAAAATGATTTATTTAATTGGAATAAGGAATATTTTAAAAATCCTCACCATGTTTTTAGCTTTTAAAAAATAGATCAGTATCTCGGCTCAGGTCTCAATCTCAGGGTCATAAGTTCAACCCCTGAGTTGGGCTCCAAGCTGGGTGTGGAGCTTACTTAAAAAAAATAAAAATAAAATATCTATCAATAGGAGCACCTGGGTGGCTCAGTGGGTTAAAGCCTCTGCTTCAGCCAGGGTCCTGGGATGGAGCCCCGCATCACGCTCTCTGCTCAGCGGGAAGCCTGCTTCTTCCCCCACCCCTACTCCCGCCTGCCTCTGTCTACTTGTGATCTCTGTCAAATAAATAAATAAAATCTTAAAAAAAATTGATCAATAAAGTATCTTTGGAAGGAAGCACAGGGAAGTGTTATCATTGACAGACTCTAGGGAAAGGAATTAGACAGTAGGGACCCAAGGAAAGAAGACAGTTCATTGCTTACATGTTTATTCCTTTTGCATTTTGAACCAGGGAGCTATATAAGTGATTCAAAAATTTAAAGGCTGGAATTTATCAAATGACTTTTACACATTTTCTGAACAAATCAGAGAAGCACTCTGTCTACATTTAATGACTTTTGGACTGAACTATTCCTACTGGTTCCTTTAAGCAAAATATTCACAGAAATATGTGGCATTCCTGAGATTACACTATCTCAGAGTCTAAAAGTCTGAAATACTAAACAACATACTCTCCAAAAGGATTATTTCACACCTTCCCATTGCTTCTCAAACTTACAATATGCTCTTTCCCCCTCTTCCCTCCTCTCAGCTCATGACTTTGTGTCTTATTTTCCCGAGTATAAAATATAAGCAATCAAGAGAATTTCATCCTCCTACTATCAGGTTTCCAGGCTATCAGGATCTGTGCACATAGACTCTGCCTTCTATTTTTTAACAAAGGATGAACTTTATTAAACAAACAAAAAATCAAAATGATAAAAATCTCCCTTGACTTCCAGCTTCTCCTCTGTTCTGTTCCCCTCAGCAGCAAGAGTTCTTAAAACAGTCCTCCTTGATACATCTGCTCAGTCCCTGGGTGATCTCATGAGCTCTCACTCTCCCACAGCTTTAATCATCATCTACGGATTATTTGCTCCTCACATACATGCTTACCCTGACTTCTGCCTGTAAGTTCAGACTTGTGTTTCCAACTTCAGAGGGGACATCTCCCTCTGGAAGTCTAATACGTATCTAAACATGGCATGTCCTCTTAATTCTCCAACCTCAAACCTGCTTTCCCCCAAGCATTTCCACTCTCAGTAAATGGCCACTACATTTGCTGGCTTATTCAGGTAAAAAAATCTAGGCATTATCCTAAACCCCATTCTTTTTCATTCTATAACCAACTGTCAGCAAATCCTATGGGATCTAGATGAAATACATATTTTTCACCATTAGCACTACTAACCTCTCACCTCCTAACTAGTCATCTTAACTACTAATTAACTACTACTAACTACTGCCCCCACCCTTACGATCTAACCTTCAAAGAGCAGTTTGAGTAAGCCTTTTAAAAGATAAATCGGATCCTGCCATTTACTTTTCTCAAGCAGCTAACAGCTTGCTATCATACATGGAATAAAATCCAAAATATTTTCTATGATCTACAAATGCCTACATAAGTTAGTCTGTGTGTGTGTGTGTGTGTGTGTGTGTGTGTGTTTCTGTCTTTTATACTTAGAAGTAAAATCCATGAAGGCAAGGGCTTAATTCACTGATGTATTCTCAGTCCCTAGAACAGTTTTTATAAATGGAACTCAATAAACATCTTTAAAAAATTAATAAAAGGCACAGACCTGTATCCCTGGGGCTAATAATACATTATATGTTTATTAAAAAATAAAAAAATTATTAAATTTTAAAAAATTAAAAAATAAATTATAAATTAATAAAAGGAAGAAAGGAAGGGAAAGAGAGAGGGAGGGAAGGGCGAGAAGAAGGAAGGAGAAAGAAGTAATTGAATTTCCAAGATTTTTACTCCCTGGTAGAAGAAATTTGTGTCAAGTAAAAAGAGGACAAAGGTAGTCAATCTGCAAGTATCTGTTGAAGACTTTTTGCTGTGCATTTAACCATTTTTTCCTTCTTTCCTTTTCCTGGGGCAAAGCTCTCAATGACTCAGTAGCTACTGTGAGAAAGCAACACTAAATCCTGAAAACCTGATATGATGTAAAAGTGATTACGTTTCTTATGATTATCTTAAAGAAACTACACCAGGTAATTAAAGAATACACACACACACACACACACACCACAAAAAGAAGTCCCCAAAACCTATTCATATTAAGGTAAATTAATATTGCAAACAGAATGATATTAAACAGGTCTCATGATACCAAATCTTTATGATAAACACTCGATTGAGTTGGCTTCTGTACTGTGGTAACTCAAGATTCCCTTTTAATCCTTCACACCAAGACATCATCAGTCAAGTGAAATTGGTTGGGAGCTTCAAAAAGGCAACAGCTGCAGAGCCAGTATCAGAGGAATAACATTTGCATATTAGAAGTCAGAGAGGGATCTGCTGCTAGGTATTACATGTGACCAATCACCTTATGCGACAGTGTCGGTGTGATGAATGAGGCAGAAAAACTGCACAGAGCAGGGATGGCCAGGAAAGCTCGGGCAGCTGTGGCCTACAGAGGGCCAGCACCCCAGGCTTCTGGACCATGAGCTTTAACAGTCAAAATCACACTTTACATTTCAGTGAGGGGCCTACAGATGCCCAGGTTTTCTTCAAAGAAATGTGCCGAAGAAGATGCCTTCTTGCCTGTCATTCAGCTCCTCAGGAATATACACTGCAGAGGATGGCTGAGGTCAACAAAAGCTATATGGGAAAATAGGTCTTCATCTAACAAAACTTAAAGCTGGACAGACAATCTCAAGTATGTCCAGAAAATGAAATGTATACTAGTATAAAATGTTCTTCTTGTCTGAAGAAAACAATACCACTGATGATCTAAGATCATAGAAGATTTTATTAAGGACCCTATACACTATTCCAAGTATAGGAGTGTAACCATTCACAAACCTGGCTAAGGATCTGAATCACTTGCAAGACTTGAAAACTTCAGATTCCTAAGTTTCACACATGCAGAGAGCAACTCTAATTCTGCAGGCTTCAGGTGAGACCGGGAAATAAAAACTTTTAAACAAAAGCCCTAAGAGACCGCGATGCACCCTTGCAGGAACTAGAATGAATTATGTCTGAGAACTACTATGGAGTCAACACAAAAGAAGTCTTGGAGGTTGCTCGTAAGTTCGAAGAGGATATTAAACTGAATTCCATTTCCAGAATAAGGTGGAAAATAAAACACCTAAATAAAATATTTTTAAAAAATTCAAGTATATGACTGTGCTTTAGGTGAGAAATTATTAGATGGTTTTGGTTTTTCATGATTTTGATATAAATGTGTATTGCTGTTACCCAATCAACACTAACCTTTCTGGGCTTAAGAATATTTGTGCACCTTATCTAATTTATGTAATAAAGAATTAGATACAAGTTATTTTGTACCCTCTAGAAGTGATCAGAAAACAGGCCAAAGCTATGTTTTTGTTTCCCACATTTAAGAAAAACTATAAGCACACATAACCTATGTATAGAAGCAACAGAAGGAAGTAGGACAAACTAATCTAGGAACCATTCTGAATATAGATATTTAGGTTTCCATGTATCTATTTGTCACCAGAAGCTTTAAAACAAATAGTTCCAATAAAGGAAAAATCTGAAGCCAAGCTTTACATACATATACACTAAGAAAATGAGACTAAAGGAGGATGATGTGCACACCTCAGACCCATCTCTAGAACTGCCAGCAGATGATAAATGTGAAGCCTAATAAATAAATAGATGTCAGATATAGATGCAAATATGGAACTGACAAAGTTAGAAAGGCAGGTTTCAGAAAATTGTTGGGCTTCAAAAGCAAAATTTGAAAAATCACTGCAACAAGCCAAAGACCTCCCAGCTGAAATGACACAGCAAAACTAAACCTCAGCTAATGGGAGAAGTGCCTGTAAGAGATGACCACAGAGCTTAGTTTCAGCCTGAATTCAAATGTGTCAATGGTGTAATTTTCTTTGAATTTGGAAAGGGAGTTCTTAAAACAAAAACTAAAACCAAAAGGTGTCCTTGACTTTATAATTACCTATAATATGAAATATTAGAAAGAAAATATTCAATTCAGTACGGCTCAGAAATCCAATTCAGCTCATCACCAGGGCCCTTACCCCTAGCAAGATGACCCAACAAGCGGAGAACTTCCTCTGATGGAATGCAGGCAGCTTCCTCATCAGGCCTGCCCTCCTACTGACACTCTACTCAGTTCCCCAAAATGGTTTTCTCCTGAGCCCTCTTTACTGTGGGCCCTACTCTGTAATTAAAAAGCTGCTAATTGGCTAATGCTGTTAACTTGCACCCTATACCTTCTCAACAGATGTGCATGGTTAGTGGAGGAATTTGGACACAATGCTTTAATTCACTGTTTATTTTAACCAAAGGGAAACCCAGTACAGAAACAGTATAAAACAGCAATCTTCTGACTTGAGTTGGAAAGCCCAAGAATCCTAGGGATCTATAAAAAGTCCAGTTGGAGAACTAAGGCCATTTCAATAAAAACATCAACTGTAATGGATTAAAATGTGTACAGTGCTTAACTCCAGGAGTTCATAACGTTATTTAAAAAAAATATATCCTCTTTGATCATTTTTGGAGGATGGTAGGAGGATGGAAGGATGGTAGGATTATCTTGCAAGCTGCCGCTTCATA